GAAAAGGAACTGGAAAAAGAAAAAGAAGATAGAAGAAAATATTTCCCTAGCTGCTTGTGGGAACAACATGTATCAAGAATTAAAAAATAACGATAAAAAACTTCAAAAGAATTAGCTAGCGGTAGCATAGCTAACAGAAGCATCGTACCGGAAGTAACGGAGACGTTTAGACTGAGACGGTCGTCACTGCCGGAGATTAAAAAGAGAAAAGCAACTGAGGTAGCACACCCGGAAAGTGGGATATATAAGAAATAAGAAAGCCCCGAGGCTTTTACCATAAGAGAGGCTATAGAATCCATTGAAGTGCATATGATGGAATTGGAGAAACTGGTGTCAGTACACCCCAACACACAAAAAGGCATAAAGGACCAACTCACGAAAATGAGAAGAAACGTAAATACGTTTGAAAGGGGGTCGGTTATTGCATGGTTGGAAAGAAACAGGTACGAACCAGTGAAGAAAATCAATATAGATGCGGATACGCAGACGGAGCGGAAAACGAAAGAAATCGCCACTCAGACCTATGGAAGTAGTTCCGAGGAACCCATCGAAACCTTACAAGGAATGGTCTCATTAGAATCCTTCATGGCCCAAAGATCTATACAGGAACACAGAAATCATCAATAATAACCTGTTGAAAACAGCCGGTTAAAGTGATATGGGTAGAACCTGACGATCCTAATATGAAAACAGGAATACAAAGCGCTTTTAAGGACCAGTACCCAGACCTGGAGAGCATGGAAGATGAGTTCGAAGTACTGGAGCAACGCACACGCATAAGATCCAGAGATATCAATGAGGAAAAAAAGAAGAAAAATAATCAAAATTACGCATAATGGAACAATGGCCGGGATATGGCAGCGAATGCAACAATTGCTACATGAGACTCCAGAAGACCCCTACACGAGCTAAAAAACATAACGGTAGAGGACCTACGGAAATTATTGGAGGCAGTATTTCATGGCTCTAAAACCAGAGTCCGAGTATGCTCGATGACCAAACCGGAAAGAAGGAAGCAACCAACCACCTACGGGCTCCTTATTAACCAAGGAGGCCTCTCCTATAAAGACATATTAACAAGATGTAAGGACATAGTGAAGGAAAATCCAGCATCGACGGCAATCAGGAGTATGAAGAGCACAAAAGAACAGAAGCTCTTAATAACTAGACCGAGACGAACAGGCTCTAACAGACCTACAAAAAGCTCTTAGGGAGGATGACAACCTGAAAGTTCGACGATTAGACAACACTAGCCAGAGAACTGTGCTCCACATAAGAGGTATGGACATGGAGTCTGGAAAAAAAATGAACTGGAAGAGGCAATAACAAATAGAGTGGGACACTGGGACGAAAGCTGTATGAAAATTAGCGACCTTCGCCCCCAAAACAACGGCACTATGGCGGCCACCGTGCTGGAAATACGGCCACACGTCGAGCAAGTGCAGGGGACCAAACCTGGCAAAGCATTGTTATAAATGTGGAGAGGAGGGGCATCATCTCAAAGAGTGCAACAATGAAGAGGCCTGCCCTGTCTGCAGAATAAAAGGGCACAAAGCGGGCACGATGAAGTGTCCGGAATTTAAGAACGCACTGACTATAGCCAGGAGAGACGAGCGAAAACAGAAGACCTGGAGAGGTGCAAGGAAAATTAATATAACGGATCTGGTGAAAAAGAAGACAGAGTAACCTGAGGAAACGCCAGACCAGGATCTAGGAGGAAAGCACACCGAAAAGGAGGAGCACCCGGAAGATATGGACCAATATCTGAAAGATTTCTCAGACAAGATCGGAGAAGCACAGATGACGTTAGATGCCATAGACAATTAAAATATTACTGCTTCCAAGAAAAGTGAACTTAGACCTAGAGTGGAGCTGCTCGACGATGAACCGAGCTAAACAAACTGAAAATATTACAGACAAATCTGAATAGATCCAGAAATGCCCATGATTTCGCACTAGCAAGCGCAATGGAGAATGAAGTGGACGTACTGGTGGCCGGAGAGCCAAATAAACAACTCGTTGAGAAAGGAACCTGATTGAAGGATCAACGGAGCGATGTGGCCGTCTTATTCCAGAATAGAAACACAGAGGTCCTAAAAGTGGCAAGTAAGGATGGTTTCCTTCACATCCAATTGAGACAATTCAATTTGATTTGCACGTATATGTCACCCAATATGCCCCTCGGAACATACGAGAATAGGATCCGTATCTTGGTAGAATACTGTCACAAACTAGACGGCGAATACATACTTGTAGGTGATTTTAATGCAAAATCACCCCTCTGGGGGTCACCAATCAAAGACGAGAGGGGCGTTATCCTAGCAGAATACATTGCTTCCCAGGACTTAATAGTTATCAACACCGGATAAGAGCCAACGTTTGTCAGAGGTAACTCCAGTTCCTGGATTGATATTACTCTGGCCACGCAAAAATTGGCCAGAGCTATTCAAAGGTGGGAAGTATGGGAGACGGAGGCTCTCACCGACCACCAGCATATTTATTTCGAAGTCACATCGCGCAACAAAAAGAGCAGAAATACTGAGAAAATGAAACCGGATATAAACTGCTGAACTCATTCAGCAAGATGTACGAGGGCCTGATTAAAACGAGACTTGAAAAAGAACTACAAGCAAGAGGAGCATTGTCAGACAACCAATTTGGCTTCCGAAGGGGCCGATCCACAATACAGGCGTTGGAGAAAGTATGCAGGCTGAGGAGGGACTGCAAACACAAATGGCAGGCACTTGTCACATATGTCAAAAATGCATTCAACACGGCGAACTGGGACATAATACTAAGAAACCTCAAGAGGATGCACATCTCAGACTACCTCGTGAATATCATCAGTAAATACCTGGATGATTGAGCTTTGATAGTGCACCGTAACCACAAGATCACAGTGGAGATGGGAGTCTCACAGGGATCGGTCCTTGGGCCTACGTTGTGGAACGTCCTGTATGACTATGCTCAGAAAATTGCATTCGCAGACGACCTGGCCCTGATGGTGTGCGAAGATAGCAAAGAAGAGCTCGAAATACGTACGGAGATGGTGCTACACCAAACCGACGAATGGATGACTAACCACAAACTAACAGTGGAGCCCACCAAGACAGAGCTCATGATCCTCAGAGGACATGGCTGGTACAGGGTGAGGGACAGCGTGTGGATTAACTTCAAAGGGAAACAGATTAAGCCGAAAAGGCAACTGAAATATCTAGGTGTGACAATAGACATATCCGGCTGCTATGGACCACATATTGAGAGTACGTCCACAAGAGCAGAGGAGCGAGCAGGGGCACTTTCTAGGCTTATGGTAAATACCAGAGAACCCACAAGTGGGAAAAGACTGATCCTGTCCAGAGTCGTCCATTCCATCTCGCTGTATGCTGCACCTGTATGAGCTGAGACAATGTTGGTACGGAAATACAGGGAGAGGTTAGAGTCCAACGGAAAATGGCACTGCGAGTGGGCAGCTCCTACAGAACGGTGTCACTACAGGTGATCCAGGTAGTGTGCGGGATAACCCCCATCCACCTAATGGTTGATGAGAGGGTCAGGATCCATAACCTGGGGCATACTCCTACCGATATGGAAAGGGCCGCAGAAAGAACAGTGACGTATGGGAAGTGGCAACAAGAGTGGTCTGGTTAGGTTAGGTTAGGTTAGGTTGGTCCGAGGGACTTCGGATAAAACCACGGCTACAAAAAAAAGGTGGATGTATCGAGGTAAGCGGCAACACTTACTTTTCCCAGGCTGGTGTGATGCGGAGACGAACAGCCTCTCCACTGGCAAGACCGTTGGGTGCCTACTCGTGGCCGGACTGTCTCTTACAGAACTCAACAGATCTAGAGGGGGTACACTCGATAAATAACCTCCTGGAGACACACACCTGGTGTGCAGGGATGGGAGGAGAAGAAGATATGGGAGAGCCAGATTTTTGAACACTTGGGCGTGTTCACACTTTGGTTGAGATCTCCGATGAGGAGAAGAGCGATCTGGAGAACCAAGATCTGAAGGACTTGCTGTTCTGGAAGTCGCCGGAGCCAGAGATGGAAAAAAGAAAGTGGGGTGGTTCCCCAAATAAAAAGAGCCCAAGAAAAGAACTGGTAAAAATAAACCAAAACTGTCTCACTCAGATAATGAATGGAATATCGAGCTTGTCGAAACTCGTAAAGGATCATACCAACACCAAGAAAGAGATCAAGGAGACAGTCATGATGCTAAAAAAGGTGGCCATGAGAGTGGAGGAGGCGCACGGAGCCTGCTGTGAAAGTGGGACGGGGAGGCTGTAAGGACAGCGGATGCCAAACTGAGGCATCTACTAAGACTATGGCTACTCAAGTGGATGAAGCGACTCTAGACAACGAGTGGAGAGAAATGGAAAATAACAAGGATGAAAAGGTAAGGCTACACCTGGAAGGAGTGCTGGGTCACGAGGGCTGGCCTGGACTTCGCCAGGTCATCGATCAATCCTGGCCGGAAAACTTATATGCAACAACCAAAGAGAGCCATGACTTGAGAGAGCGCAGGGAGGGCAGGCAAGACCTGGTTCTGCTGCTGGATCCGAAGATAGCTCGAGAAGGAGTGATAATTGATCAGGTCCGAGCGAGTTTTCCCGACCTGGTAGACCTCCTGAACGAACATATGGACAATATGGAATTTGTGAAATGTGACAAAAAGACCGTCACCAGTAAGGGCACAAGTGAGATTGTAACCAACACCCTCTATATTGTACCACTGAAGACCGGTGTAACAGGAGGGGGTGGCGACGTGGCCAACCTGTATGAGAGTATGAGAAAGCTCAGGGTAAAAGCGCCATCTTCAACAGAGGGAAAGCGGAAGTTTCAAATAGCTATGGCGGAACAGCACGATGACGGCTACCTCAGGAAGTGTACTGAGAGCGTCTTCCACGACAGTGGAGCAGGGATCACTGTCACTTGCAAAAAAAAGAGACCATGCTAGAAGAGAGAGGGGCAAGGCAATGGCCCAGATTAGGCAGGATGACCGAGAAGATTGTGATCAAAATGGAGGGCAAAAACTACGCTGAGGCCTTGAGGGAGATGAAGCAGAACACGAACATATCAAGAACCGGAGCCCAGATAAAGAACATCAAAAAGACGGCGAGAGGAGACATCCTGTTGGAATTGAAGGGAGGGAAAGAGGAGGCCATAGCCTTGAAAGACATAATAGAGCAGGTCAATCCTTCGACTAAAGTGGAGATGACAAATAGGGAAAAGACTCTACATATCGCAGACATTGAACCGGACATGGGCGAAGCAGATGTTAAAAAAGCAGTAATGAGAGCAGTAGACGGAATAACTGAGAAAGACATAAATATAGTATTCATGAAACTCAACAATTTTGGCAACCAGAATGCCATGATATCGGTGAACAGGTGGGTGGCGTTAGAACTCACCAGACTAGGAACGGTCAGAGTGGGTTGGGTCCCTTGCAGAGTAAGGGAGAAAATTAACATCCTCAGATGCTTCCGCTGTTTGGGCTTTGGCCACAGAAGGGGAGAATGCAAGGGAGAGGACCGCTCAAAGCATTGCATGACAAGCTGCTGACAGGAGAGACACAGGGCGGACCAGATGCGTTGTCCGCAATATCGCAAGCTTGTAGAAAAAAGAGACAGGGATATCAAGGCGAGAAGACAGGGCGGCGAAGCAACACCTGCTGTGTAATGCGAATCCTGCAGATCAACGTGGAGCGAGCAAGTGCTGCCCATGACGTTGCCATCGCGACTGCCGACAGGTTTGACGCTGATATCATCCTGTTCCAGGAACCCAACAAGACGTTGACTAGGCAACAGAAATTGATAAAGGACAACAACTGCGATGTAGCGGTATTCCGTAGAAGCAGAGATATTGGAGTCCGGAATCATTGGGGACGCGATGGCTTCGTCAAGTTGGTCTTCAGCGATTGGACGCTATACAACTGCTATGTGTCGCCCAACATTTCTTTGCAGCGTTTCGAAGCTTACACGGATGCCTTGATGAGGGATGTCAGGTCGGAAGGCAAAAAAGCCATAATCGTGGGCGACTTCAATGCCAAGTCCCCATCTTGGGGTTCGTTAGTCGCAGATGCCAAATCTTGCGCTAAATCTTGTGGTACATAATGATGGATTGAGGCCCACCTTTGTGCGGGGTGACAGCAAGTCTTACCTGGACTTGACTCTTTCATCGTCTGAGACAGCGGGTATGATAAGAAACTGGGAAGTCCTGGAGGAAGAGTCGATGAGTCTTCACAGACAGATCATTTTCCACATCGACGGAAAGTCGCGACGGAAAGTACCTGGATTTAGAAG